TTCCTTCTTCATCAGTGTTCTGTTATTCTTTAAGCTCGCAAGAAGATCCAAACCAAAACCAATCTGAATCTGCCACCATCTCCACCAAAGCTCCCATTCATAGGCAATCTGCATCAGTTTGGGACACTGCCACATCGAGCTCTTCGAGATCTCTCTCTAAAATATTGGAGACATAATGATGTTGCAGTTGGGACAGATGCAAACTCCAACCCTCGTCGTTTCATCTGTAGATTTGTTCGCCGAAATAATCAAAACACATGACCTAGCCTTTTCGGACCGACCCCAAAACACTGCTGCAAATATCTTACTCTATGGATGCACAGACTTTGCTTTTGCACTCTATGGAGAAAACTGGAGACAGAAAAAAAAATATGTGTGCTTGAACTTCTGAGCACGAAAAAGGTGCAATCATTTGGAGCAATCAGGGAAGAAGAAGTTGCGCAGTTGGTGAAGAAGCTACGTGAAGCTAGCAAGAGTGATGAAAACGTTGTGAATCTAAGTGAGATGATTGTGTCAACATCAAATAATATTGCGTGCAAATGTGCTCTTGGGAGGAAGTTTGCAGGAGATGGTTACACGAGAGTGAAAGAGTTAGCAAGGGAAGTGATGATTCATCTCACAGCTTTCACAGTGAGAGATTACTTTCCTTGGTTGGGTTGGGTTGATGTTGTTACTGGAAAAATTCAGAAATACAAAGCCACTGCTCAAGCACTGGATAGTTTATTTGATGAGGTAATTGCAGAAGAGATGAGCGTCAAAAGGGAAGGTCAACACTCCAAAAACAAAGTCTTCTTGGACGTCCTCCTCCAACTTCATAAGGATAACACGCTCAGCGTCGACCTCGCCAAAAATGACATCAAAGCAATTTTAACGGTAACGTTTAGTGATGATATTTCACGCTCAAAATTCATTTTCTATAACTATAATTTTTCAATTGAGAAAATAATTATGGCAACTTTTCTTTATTTAAAATCCATCATCATCCACTTTTTGCTACTGAAAAATTATCGAATGATTCCTGGTTATCGAATATATATATAACCCTAAAATATAACATGAATACCTTCGTTTTTGGGCAATTCATTTTAAAAAAATATAACACGTAAGATTTAGATTCCTTTTAAAAGATTTATTTTTTTTTTTGTTTATATTGGTGTTTTGTTGAGATTGTTGTTTTTAGTTCTCAAAGTTAACTTTGATTATCAAAATCTAACAATAATTACGAAATGGTAAGGACAGAAAACAAACTCTTATTCCATATTTAATTTGGTGTTGGAGAGTGACATATGATCTTGAGACATTCATTCTTTTGAAAAATTTAATTTAAATTATTATTATATTAAATTTCTTTTTTACAGTCTGTGATTTTCATATAACATCGTGTAATAAAATATTTATTAATTAAACTTTTAATTTACAATATTAATAGAATGTAAAGTATCTTTTTGAATTTATTACAATATTAAAAGCTTTTAATTTACAATTCTTCCTTGAGAATTGAATGAACCGTTTAACAGATCTGAAGAAGATTTAACTATTGTATTATTTTAGGACATGTTTGTGGGAGGCACTGACACAACTTCATCGGCGATAGAATGGACTATGTCTGAGCTTTTAAGAAATCCAGTGATAATGAAAAAAGTACAAGAAGAAGTGAGAGCAGTTGTAGGTGATAAATCAAATGTAGAAGAAAGTGACATTAAGAAAATGCACTACTTAAAGTGCGTGATAAAAGAATCTCTAAGAATACACCCTCCAACTCCTCTTTTGGCTCCTCGAGTAACGATGTCTGCTGTAAAACTGAAAGGATATGATATTCCGGCAAAAACAACGGTATATATCAACTCATGGGCAATGCAAAGGGATCCCAAATTCTGGGAAAGTCCTGAAGAGTTCATGCCAGAGAGATTTGAAAATATTGAAGTTGATTTTAAAGGTCAAGAAGACTTTCAGTTTATTCCGTTTGGTTTTGGGAGAAGAGGATGTCCTGGAATTAACTTTGCCAATGCTTCTATGGAGTATATGCTTGCTAATCTTCTTTATTGGTTTGATTGGAAGTTGCCAGAAACTGATACACAAGACATAGATATGACCGAAATATTTGGACTTGTTGTCTCAAAGAAAGTACCACTTCACGTTAAACCAACGACCTTTTCATTCTAAATGTTTTTGTTCTCAAAGTTGCTGTTGTAACTTATTATCTTCACTTTGTGTGGTGCTGCTCTAAATAATATATATGTTTATTGGTGTGTACACACGTTATTCTTGTTGTTCAAAATGTAAAAATGGTCTTTTTCGTCAGGTATGTTTATTATCTAGATAAAGATGACTTGATAGTGTCAGTTTTATTAATGTATGCTACGTCAAATTTCATTAAATATGATGAGAACAAGTGTATCTATATTATAGCAACAAGTGACAGCAGAAATGGTCAACTATGGGAAACGGAAAAACAGAAGTATATTATATTTTAAGGTTGTTTGGTGTGATATAGATCTAAACTTCAAAGCCTACTTACGGAGCTACCCACCAGCATATCAGAGTCTAAATTTGTTTAAACTTAGAAATAGACGTTTCTAATAAGAAAAAAAGATTTATCTATTAGCAACTAATGAGAAGGTGAATAACAAAGAAAGTTAAGGAAGTTTTAGATGAAGAAGTCAATAACCTTCTCATATCCAAACCAAATCTAGAAGAAATTCTATAATATATATTTCATTGTGCATCTTTTTTCTCAGTTCCATCCTTTTAGTCGTATGGTGTAGATAATTGATAAAGAATGGAGTGTTAACCTTCTTGGGATTACGTTCTTTATTGTGATTATCTTTGTGTACTAGTTTGTAATTGTGCATGTTGTTTTGGGTTCAAGTATGTACATATAGAATCTAAAGTAAAATGTTACTCCCTCCACTGTCACACACACGGCTATCTATACTTTTTTAATTTTTTGTTATTCCAAAAATATTATTATTTACTTTTACCCTTTATTTTTTTAACTTTTTCTGAAAATCCTAATTTTTATTCTTTTATTCACTCAGCTGCTTCACCCCATACTCTTACTTTCTCTCTTCCTCTCTTATTCTCTTCTTTCTCTTTCCTCAATTTTCCATCTTCCTCTTTCCCCAATTGACTATTTATGTTACGATTCTCTTCTCCTTTGCTTGGTTTGTGTTGGTGCTTGGTTGGTGGTAGGTTCGTGTTGTTTCTTGATTCATGGTGTTGTGGAGTTTGGTGCTTTCTTTGTTATTGTCTTTGATCCAGGTTAGTGATTTTATATGCGGCTCTGTTTTTTATTAAACGAAGAAGAAGAGAAACACCAAAGGTTGCAACGGATATGGGACACTCGTTGAGCCTTCAACGGATCTCGATATCTGTGGACGGATCTCGAGATCCATTGAAGGCTCAACGAATGTCTCATATCCTTTGAAGCCTTTCAACATTTTGGGTGTTTTCCTTCGTTGAAGGTTCAACGGACCTCTCATATCCGTTGAGGCCTTAGTAGAGCTGTCAAAGCAGTCCATTTTATAAGATTTGGCCCTAGCCCATGTGGGTTGGGGCCAAAAAAGCCCACAGGGCCAAAAACATTTCTCATTAAAAAAGCCCATAGGACCAAATAGCCCTAAAGCCCTATGGGTCAGGGCTAGTCCATGGGCTTTCCTTTTTACCATGAGAAAAATATAATAATAAAAGTAGAAACAAAAATTACAGTGGAGAAATAGAAATTTGTAATGTTAAACCAAAAATAACAGTATTAACGTAAACATATTGTCCCACTTTCAACTTTCAGAGAAAATCTAAGTGAACTTCCTCCTCCATGTATGAACAACCAGTTCATCAGCTTCATCTCTTCTGTCGCATGGCCATTTGCAGTCATAATCCTCATGCATATTTTGTTTCTTTAGTTCTTCACTAGATAGCACATTTGCACACCAAGATACAACTCCACACCATTCTCCAGTCACACTCCACGCGCCATGCTTTGCTCACTGATCCCAGCTTTTTCAGACTTTAAGACAACACACCAGCCATTCATTCATTGGCTGTCACCATAGTGATACTCCTGCTTGTTTTGTATGATTAGTTCAATTAAAGCATCTGGACTATGTTAAAAACTGCACCAAAAACTTGATATAACAGACATCCATTCATATACAGCCTTCGTCCTTGAGTAATGTGCACTCTACGTCTCCTGTTGATCATATAACAATACTATAATTATTTCCAATTTTCATCAGATGTCCATGAAGGGATGCAATGAAGAATACTCTGACTTATTATAACTCTTGGACTGGATTATCTTAGAGGCAAGTTGCCTTAAACATTAAAATACATTCACCTAAAATTACAACAGAATTTAATTGGGCAATTAAAATGTTCTTCTATATAAGCACGATAATAATTATATTATATACTTCTCAGTTTTGCACCACAACTTCTATTTTTATTTATTAATTGAGAGTAAGCTTTTGTTTAGATTTATAAAATGGATAGACATTCCAAAGCATAAGAATCAAGGATCTTTGAGTTATTTTATTCAGAACAAGTTTCTCTGCTAGTCAAACAAACAATCCAAAATTAGGTGAGTTGGATAATACTGTACCATCCCTGAAATACACCAGAATTATACAACCCCCCCACAACCCCT